AAAAATTATTAACGATATTGCAACCATCAAACAATGATATTAGTAGTGGTAGCAGTTTAACAGATAGTGATAATGAATCGGTAAATTTTGTTTTTCTAGTCTGTTTATTTATCCTAAAGTTAAAAAGACAGCTAGCAAACAATAATATGTGTATTTACGTATTTATTTTGTATTAAAGAAAAATTAAAGTTGATTTAGTTATTTTAATTGTTCTTAATATAATTCTTAAGAAAATAAACCTTTAATTAAAAATGAGTAAGTTTTATTTTTTTCATTAGTTTGTTTATCGATAACTATATTTTACAACATTATGCAAAATTGTACCTAAAGTTTGCTGGCGCTAGATGCACTCCACGCGTATTATGACATGGCGGTTAAAGGGTTAACATAATGAAGAAACACAAGAACATTTGTATTCCTCAAAAAAATTATGTTATCATCAATAATTTCTTTTTAGAGTTTGTAATTATAATACTATATTTAGTATCATATTTTAAGTTATGTAGACTAGCTAATTTTAATAATAAGTTCTCTTTTATATTTGCCTACAATTGTAGCTTGAGTGAAAGTAATTGGTGCAGAGAGTAAACATCGATTTTGCACTTGTCTTTTTTTCAATGGTTTCCTTTCCCCACATTTACATTGTCTACTGCGTCGTCCACAAATTGTTATTTCGGGTCTGGGTGTCACATGTATATGAGATTGTATGTTTGTAAACATACCCACTACACAGGAGAAAAGTTGAGCAACACATAAAAATAAAACCGCTCGATTTTGACGTGTGCGGACGTGTTACGTAGCCGGAGTGTATTGTGTAATAAATAAAATAAAATATTTCGCTGTTTTACGTTATAAATGGATACGAAATGTAGCGGCTGTGATGCTGCTTTGAATACTTCATTTTTTATGGAGTGCTCACAAGAAAAATGCAAGAAGAAATTTGATCTCAAGTGTCTGGCATTGACTGAGGAAAAATTCAACGCATTTACGCGAGAATATAAAGTTAAGTGGAGTTGTCCAGAATGTGTCTGCACTATGCCGAAGCGTGGTAATACTAACACGCCTGTTCGAGGAACTACAAGCACCAACAAGTCGGTTTCACAGTGCAGCAGCGTGAATACCGCTGATCGAGGCAGTCATCGAAAAACCGGTGAAATAATACTCAACACGGAGATTCAACTTCTCAATGAAATACGAGAGTTTCGTGGGGAAGTTAAGAAGCAGCTGGAAGAGCAACGAAGTGAGTTTATTCAGTTGAAAAATAAATTTATAAATACAGAAACTGAGTTGAAAGAGTTGAAACAAATTTTGAAGGTAGTGCAACAAAAGGCAAATAAAGTCGAGATGCTAGAAACAAGAATAAGGGTTCTTATGGGAGAAAATGAGAAACTGGAAGCAAGTTTGAAGAAAAGTCAGGGCCAAATCCAGGCAGAACAAGGCTCTAAAGACATAAAAAAATCATTTGCTAAAGTTGTCAAAGAAAAGCAGGTAGATGGAAATGATGAAGTAAATGAGTGTGTGGCCACGAAATCGGTGACAGTGTCATTAAATAAAGAGCAGACAAAAGTAAGAAATAATGGGAAGACTAAAACTATTGTAAGCGGGGACAGGGAACATCCTGAAAAGGAGGGACAGTGGACTACCGTTACCAGGAAAAAAAAACAGATTTACGAATAAGGAAGTGAAGAAGGGCGGGAATACTAGTCCTGTTATTGATATACAAGGAACGGAAAGGAAGAAATATTTACATGTATGGCGATTGCAGAAGGGAACGACAGCGGAAAGCGTAGAAAAGCATGTCAAGAAGATATATGCGGAAGAAGTACCCGTTAAGGTAGAACAAATTAAGCACAAGACAGAAAGAGATTATGCTTCCTTTATAATAGGAGTTCCTGAAAGTAAATATGAACAGTTATGCCAATCAGAAAATTGGGCAGTTAACATTGAATTTGCGGAATGGGTGTGGTTTCGGAGAGCAAACAACCCCGGATATCCTACATAACTCGGTGGAAATATTGTACCAAAACGTTCGAGGGCTGCGAACAAAGTTAGAAGAATGTCACACAAGTATATCCACCGGTAGTGTAGACTTGTTTGCCATGACGGAAACAGGATGTAATGATTCCATCTATGACGCAGAAATAATTCCACCAGGGTACACCATTTTTCGGTGTGATCGAACGGACGGGCGTAAGCAGGGCGGCGCGTGTCTCGTGGCCACACCGCGTTTTGAGTTGCGGCGAGTGCCGCTGCCCGATGACGTCAGCGTGGACAATCAGGTGTTCGAAATAGTTTGTGCTACTGTGTACCTACATAAAAGATTTCTATTTTTTATTTGTGTTGTTTACATACCGCCAAGTAGTAATGATACTGAATATATGTCATTATTTCGCATCATTGAACATTATTGTGGTAAATACGAGAATGTGGTGATTATAGGAGACTTTAACTTGTATTCGTGTTCTTCAGCCATAAGTGATTATTATGAATACTTTCGTGCTTTTTGTGGATTCACTCAGAGTAACACAGTGGGAAATTGTAATGATCGTTGTTTGGATTTGGTGTTGAGTGCATTGACTGAGGGAGGGCGTGTGAGTGTGCGTGCGGCCGAGACGCCGCTGGTACCAGTGGACGCGTACCACCCGCCGCTTGAGATCAAGGTAAGTACTTGCTCGCGCCGACGCCGGAGCGTCAGCTCAGTAGCCCCGGCTGCGCCCTGCACAGCGAGCTCGGCACCCGAAACAAGTTGGAACTTTAACAAAGCCGATTTTCCAACATTATATTCCTTAATCTCAACCATAGACTGGACTACTTTGTATGACTTAGACGTAGAATTAGGTTTAGATTATTTTTACAATGTTATTAATTCTGTTATAGATGACTGCGTTCCGAAAAAAAAGCGAAGTCGTGTAAACTCAAGGTACATTTACCCTGAGTGGTACACGAGTGAGATAATTCGCGACATAAAATTAAAGGCTTTTCTGCATAAGCAGTACAAGGCGAGTGGGTCGAAAGTGGACTACGATGCTTTTGCTGTATGTAGGGCTCGCGTTAAAAAGATGATGGTAGTCGCGCAGAAACAATATCGTGACCGTGTCCAGAGTCAAATGCTGAGTAACCCTAAATCATTTTGGATTTACACCAAATCCAAGAGGGGTAGGAGGGGACCGCAGGAGATTTTGAAAGATGGAGAGGTTTTGTCTGGTCAGCGTTGTGTTGAAGAGTTTGCGCAGTATTTTTACTCTGTTTATAGGGCAGAACCACCAGCGCTGGACGTTGACGCGGCTGTAGCAAGAGCAGGTAGTGGAAACGGAGCGGCGCGAGTACACTTTGACCAATTAACGCTGGCAGATGTGTCTCAAGCGCTACAAGATCTGAAGCCGAAGCGATCCGCAGGGCCTGATGGCATTCCCCCTTATATTTTTAAGGACTGTCGTTCAGCGCTAGCAAAGCCACTACTTCATATTTATAATCAGTGTCTGCAAACTGCCATGTTCCCTGAGAGGTGGAAAGTGACTCGCGTTGTTCCGGTTCCGAAGGGGTATCTGCAGAATCTGTAGATGGGTTTCGGCCAGTAGCGTATTGTCGACACCGGCAAAAGTATTAGAGACCGCTATCCATAAGAGCATATATGTACAAGTGCGCGCGCAGCTCTCAGATGCTCAGCATGGGTTTCGACCGGGAAGGAGCACCACCAGTAATCTTCTCTGTCACATGGCTCATTTGATACCAACAGTGGATGGTGGGGGGAGACTGATGCTGCTTATTTCGATTTCCGAAAAGCATTCGACCTTGTCGATAATGACGTGTTGCTAACGAAGTTCGCTAGCTTTGGTTTCACCCCACACACACTTCAGTTTTTTGCCAGCTATTTAAGGGATAGGCAACAATATGTTGAATATGCGGGACATGTGTCGGATCCATATTTCACCAGATCAGGAGTGAGTCAAGGTAGTAATCTTGGACCTTTGAGTTTCCTTCTGGTGGTAAATGACTTGCCAGAAGTAGTCCAAGATGCTAATTGTCTGTTGTTTGCTGACGATCTCAAATTATCTCTTGCAGTAAGAACTGAGGAGGATTGTGTCAGGTTACAGAGGGACATTGATAGAGTGGTGAGCTGGAGTAAAGAAAATCTCCTACAATTCAATAGTTCGAAATGTGTTACAATTGCGTTTTCGCGTGCACATAATCCTATTGAGGGCTGCTATCACATTGAGGGGAAGCCTTTGGCGCGAGTCGGGGAAGTCAAGGATTTGGGAGTAAGATTTAACACCGGTCTGACATTCCGTGAACACATCATGGGTTGTTGTAAAAAGGCTTTTAGAAACTTAGGCTTCATGCCCCGAACGGTCCGTGGATTTACTAACATAAAAGCCATCATCACACTATATAACGCACTAGTTAGGAGCCAGTTAGAATGTAACGCAGTCATCTGGTCTCCGCATGAAGCTAAATATAGTCTCATGCTGGAGAGAATTCAAAATAAATTTATTAGATATTTATATTTGAGGTACTATGGGGTCTATCCGTTTTACCCATTGATGTATCCCACATTATTTATTTTAGGCATGGTGGGGTACAATGAGTTAAGGGTAAGACGGGATTTTGCACTCACCTCACATTTGTTTAAAATATTAAGAGGAAAGCTGCACAATGCAGTCATTTTAGGACAGCTGAATCTATGTGTTCCGGATAGGTACGTGTGGCGACGCCGGCGACCGCCACTGCTGGCAGAACCCCGCGGTCGGACCAACCTGTTAAGGGAAGCGCCGCTGACGCGTGCACTTCGCACGCTCAACCTGATTTCTAATGAAATTGACCTATTTTGTTGTACTCTGGGTGAATTCACAAGGAATGCATTATATGTAATATGCTATAGGTAGATATTAAGATGAGCACATTTATCGCATTGGGCATTAACCTGTAAAGATGAATGTAAGTGGAAAAAATAAATAAATAAAAAAATAAATAAAAAAAAAGTATGGCTGACACTGACAAAGTTATCCATCAAATAAAGAAAGAGTCAATGCGAGAGATTGAATATAGTACAAGATAGATAAGATACCTGGTGGTAAGCTCTGTTTCAGTTTCTCTGCCTTCTCTTTGTCTGTGATAACCAGTGTGTACAGAAACCGTGAGCACCGTACCTTGAACTTGACATTCTCTGGGTTTTTCTTTATCTTGACAGCTGTAACATAAGCACAATAAATTATTACAAATACCAAACTCCTATGCAGATTACATATTTTTTTTCGATTTTGCATGTATAGTTGGGATAATAATGTATGTAAGTATAATAATGTATAGTTGGGAGTACTTAATCTGTATATCCCCAGGCGGTCACCGGTGACCGCTCTCCACTAACTACAATATAGTCCTTATTTCATCCAATACTACTTTAGTATGAACAAATTTAGTTTTAAATGAATCTAATAATCATTTTAATAGCTCTATGCTTTGTGATGTTATCTAATAAATTTATATTAAAATCACCACATACAAGTACAGATTTATTGCCAGATCAAACCTTCATCAGAACATCCTCCATGACAGAATCAAAGAATGCACGATTCTGGTAATTAGATGGTCTATATGTAATAAAACATATACAAACTACAACAGGCTTACCTAGCTGCACAGGACAACAATTCATATTTTTCAATTTAACCTGTTGAAAATCATCCCCTAAATTTGTTCATAAAAGTAGTCCCTAAACACCGGAAATAAGGTCTATAATGTACCTAGTTAGTGGAGAGCAGTCACCAGTGACCGCTTGGAGATGTATGGGTTAATACTGTTATTATAATAACCATTTATTTAAGACATCAAAGCTCCACTTTGTTAGTAACAAAATCAAAAATATGATATTATTATATCTTTACAAATATGTTAGTAAGTGTTTTTACCTAATACTAAAGATCCCCTGAGTAACATCTTTCTACTAAAATTACTAATTACATTGTAATTTTCGAAGTTCAAAGATATTAACAGGTCCTCATCCATTGTTCTATCTAAAAATTATGTAGTCAGTTTTTCCAAATCATTTCTACTTCAAGCAATTAAGAGGAGCAGCCCTTAATGTTAACATGAAATAATTTTAGATGGTGCTGCCCTTGACTCTTGAATGTAAATTGGTTGTAGCATGTTGTACAGCCTATTCCTTCAATAAAGACTATCCAACACTAAAAGAATAATACATCACATGAAACTAGTAGTTCCTGAGATAACTCTTCGGCTCTATATAATAGTATACCAAACAGACTGAATCACTCACATTTAGCATCTTTCCTGCGTGCCTTCAGAAGGAAGTCCTTGATGTCTTTAATTTCACGTGGCTGTAACGAAAACAAAACAAAATCCATTTAAGAACTGTCAGTGCTACTGCTACTCAAGCTGGTTTATGAACCAGCTAATGTTATCCATACATTCAAGGCCACACTCAACAATGTTTTTACCATGTCTTTATCAAATACTCTATTTGATATTCATTCAATTAATAAACATTTATTCATTAAGCAATTGAAGATTTTATTTTCCTAGAAAATGGAAACATTTCTATTTCCTAAGAATATTTTATATTTAACTAAATTGTATTAAAGGAGACCAGCAAACTTCCAAAGTAAATCAAGACCCCACCAATAAATTTCGTATTTTTTTTTCAATATCCCAGATAAGTAAATTCAATATACTGTAAGTTCTACCTTATTTTAAAATCACTAACCTCAAATCAGTCATAAGATAAAAACAAATGTTAGGAGGATTTCTTGACTACTAACTGAAATATTTGGAAGTATCTTCAGTTCTCTCAAAAAACTTATCGCACAGGGTTGAATATGATCTTTGAACTGTATTTCATTTTCGTCTGTCATGGCTAAGATATGCCAATTTCCTTTCAAGAATTTATATAAAAGCATAATTCATTTACTTCCAGGAACATGATTAAACACATCTAGTTCTTATGACAAAATAATTGAATGCTTGTTTTGAAGGATATTTTTTTTATACAATAAATTGTCGGCTTATTAAAATATACCTGTGAAACCAGGTGACACTATAACTTCGTTTCATAATACCTAGTCAACATCATGAGATACGCTTGTATCGTTTACACTTTATATCAACATTATTTGTCATAAGCCTGGTGTGGAAGATATGCAAAGATGAACAGAGGCGGTCAAAGGCTTCCCGGAGGAAAGATCAATGGGTCATCCTTCACTGGCTAGTCCTCTACTACAGAATGGATGTGATTACCAATTTAATAAACTTTAACATTAGTCAATCACTAATACGATATAACGGATATTCTGCGATATGCTATGTAGGTAATTAATAAATAAATAAGTAGGATAGACGTTCTTTCATATAACTCACTGTTTACTTACCATGATGAAGACAACGTTCCTTGTAGAACTGAAAAATGATATAAAAGTAATAAATAACGTAAAATATCACTTGTAAGTAATGTAAAACTAACGTATGTGTACTAGTAATTCAAAAATATTTAGAAAATCTAACTACTTAAGATGATTAATTCGGATTTTACTTAATCTTCCCAAAAATACAAACTCAGCTTACCTGTCAAACAACTAAAAGAACAAACTAATGACGGAACTTCAAGTTTGACGTTTGAATAGACGTCAGATTTGACAGTGAATATTGACATTGACAATTTATTACTAGGAATTTATTTCTTTATTATTGGGAACTTTCCCCTGTGATAGTGATGCGGACGAATACTTTGACGCCTAAATTAAGGGTATAATTTTTGTTGTTTTCTTTTACTATTTTAAGTTGTAAATATTTATGTAGTTATTTAACTTCAATCATAACAAATTAACAGAAAACGTAAAACTGATTTATTACTGACTAAGATAAGTAGATAAGTAAGATTCATGAACCTGTGGATATTTCGGCTAAAAATGTACTATACAAAAATATAAAGAGAAAATACCATGGAATTATGAATCGAAGAGACAAAATATACTCTGTTCTCTTGTCTCCATCAACTGGCGTAATATAGAAAGAGATACATAGATTTTAGTAGTTACTTGAAATTAGTACTTGACACAGACATACAAGAAGAAGCAGACAAAGCTTAATCATTTAAAACTTTTGCTATCAACGAGTTACTATAGTATTAAGGACTATTTAGAAGATAAGTCGATAGAATCTAGATAGTGTAATTTTAATAATAAATTTGCACGCAATATATAGCAGGGTACGCTGGAAGAATATTGCACCGTATGTACCGTATGTTAGCTAATAATAACATTTTTGATTTGATTTATTTGAAGCATTAGCTAAAATTTGTGAAGCAAGAAAACACATTTTTTTTATTATTTTTATTTATTTATTAGGTTAAAATTAATTATAAGAAAAAAACAAAAACAACTATTTACATAAAGCGTCGAAAAATTCGTCCGCATCGACGTCAGTGGGGAAAGTACCCAGAAGGCTGGCAGTTATTTATGTTAACCTACAGTTATTTACACTCATACATTCATTATATAATTACAAATAATAATTTAGTAACTGTAAGTAACAAAGTATCAACTTCCTTTTTAACAAAGCATGCACATAAAACGGTTAAAATATGTTACATAAAAAAAATATAACATTCGAACAAGATCAAGCAACATAACATAAAAGTTGCGATCAGTTAATTAAATTAAATATGAATTAAATTAAATTAAATTAGAAATTCAATAGAGTCGAACTATATACTTTGTGTGGGATTACAACCAAGATAATCGTACCTAACGTAATTAGGCACCTGTTGACTGAAACAATTGAACACTTAATACAGAATACTTGTGATTATTTTTGTTATTATAAAATTATTAATATAAAGTTGTAAAACACTATGTACCTATGTGTTTACCATTCACGGCAAGACAGGGTCCCGGTCATTTCGGAGGCATACGAGGGGCTGAAGCCAACTGCGCAGAGGCCCTAGAAAACTTTAATTTAAATGTGATGGAGACACACAAACCGGCGACTATACCTGTGTGCACTATGAAAATGCACCCAAGGGAAGTCCCCAGTTAGTGTAGAGCTATTGTGAATAATGGAAAAAAGAAAGGTTGGGAACTATGGATGACTATGGCACCTGCAGAAACAATGTAAGTATTCCACGTAAAATTCAGAATGGAGTTATATAAATCTTTAATTGTGATAATGCCTTAATGGCCCTAATAATCAAGATTTGAAGATCGCCTGACAATGGCTGACCCGGTTGGTATCCATACTATAAGTTACACCCGTTTGATCGCCACAGTGCTACGTACGTTACGCCATGACATACAATTGCGTCTCTGACTTTAGTTTATGGTATATTTATAGACCCAGGGACTCACGGGCTTGGGAGTAAGAAATTTTTATTCTGTGCACATGATATTTCATGTCTTTTCTGTGGTTCTTCTATCTGTCTGTCCGTCTGTCGTCTGACGAAAGAAAACGAAATGAGCGACAGGCTCCCAGTTGTTGTACCTATGTAGCATTGTTTACGAGAAACACGATTGTTTGTCGGGTTCGAACGAAATGTATAAAAGGTCGGGGTTGATGAGCTGCTGGCGTTACCGGGGGAATCAGTTTAAGAACGAGTGCGGCCACTAGCCGGGGATATGTCGGACCGTGGGGGAGTGCGGTCCAGTGCTCGGCTCAGCGGTGAGAGTACAGCGGCCATAGCAGCCTCCGCTGCAGCCCGTACTGCTCCACAGGGCCGCGGCCGGCCGGTGTCCACGACGGCGGCGGCCGCTCAGCGACGCGCGCGTGCTGCTGAGCGCGCTGCGGAGGTTGAGGACAGCCCACGGGTGCTTCGAGATAAGTGTCGCCGTCTCGCACGGGCTCTCCGGAATGCTAAACACTTGGTGGTGAGCAGGCATTGAAGTAATTAACTAGTGTTAGATTTTACAGTTAATTTGGTGCAGCCAAATACGTTTGTGATCGTACCTACACGATCTTAAGGCCACAAATAATAGCTCTCCTAAAATTAATCCCAAGATCGGGTTGTGAAACTGGTAGTGTGTGAATTTCTGTCACAATTAAAAAATGTCACTAGATGGTGGTTACTGCTTAAATACACTTCTGGACACATCTATTCACCTAAACTCTAAGGTGGGCCACCTTAGAGTCTAGGTTTCGATGGCCCCTACCGAAATATGATTGCTAGATTGAACAAAAACTGTTGATGTAGTTTTAAACCTGATACATTTTACCATCTTTGTCGATTGTATTGTTTTAAATTTAAATTCAGAATACCATACGACATTAAGCTACGCCTAACAAATCGGATATGCGCCTTGTTAAAGGCAAGGCGCATTTTTGAATAAAAATCATGTTTTATCAAATAAAGGTTTAATTTAATAACGCATGTTGCCTCCATGGGCATCTACCACAGCTCTCATACGATTAGGCATAGGGTTTATCAACTGCTCTATGAAATTTTGAGGGATCCATTCCTCTTCTATAGCAGTTTTCAACTCCTGCATTGTCTGGTCAACTAGCTGACGAGCCCTAACACGTCTTATTAGCTCGTCCCACATGTGCTCAATGGGGTTCATGTCTGGGCTTCTGGCTGGCCAGTCCAAAACTGTGATGTTTACATCCCGAACATATTTCCTGAGGATGCCGGCCGCTTGGGCTCTTGCATTATCATGCATAAAAAGGAAATTTGAGCCCACATAGTCCGCATATGGTATCATGTGAGGTTCTAAGCACTTAAGAATTATTATAGCCAAATTATGTTGCAACATGTGAATAAACGTCGAAAAATGACATACAATAGTAACCGATTCCTTATGATCCAACGGGTGTACACGCGAGATTTGGAGCATTTTTCTTATGATCCACCGGGTGCTCATAACGACGCTCTAGGGGTTAAAGCCAAAGCTTCAAGGATACAATTGTGACTCTAGTAAAACAATATAAGGAAGTCGGCTTCTAGTAGAATAATTATAGTGAATCATACAGCACTATTTTACTTCACTGCAATTCACTCATACATCACTGTAGTTATTTTCTTCACTAATAATGGTGGAACTTTCCGAGCTGGAGGAGTAGGAATAGAATAGGGCGGTTATTAGTCAGTAAGAGTTTGACACTTTCTCTCGCCTCACCCAAGGCGGACGAAGTGACTGGTTCTCTTTTAATGGGAAAAGCATATAAATAATAAATATGTTAGGTGTATACGGGAGCGGGTATCAGCACGGCCGCCGACATTCCTGACTACCGCGGGCCGCACGGTGTCTGGACGCGGCTGCAGCGCGGCGAGACTGTCGGGTGAGTGAGTGAGTGACTGAGAGAGCGCGTGTGTGTGAGCGAGGCAGTAGTGGACGCACGGCTCGGTTGCAGGCGGGTGGAGGTGTCGCGCGCGCAGCCCACTTTTACGCACATGGCGCTGACGGCGCTGTGGGCGCGGGGCGCGCTCAAGTTCGTGGTGTCGCAGAACTGCGACGGCCTGCACCTGCGTGCCGGTCTGCCGCGCCGCGCCCTGGCCGAGCTGCACGGCGACATGTTCGCGGAGCTGTGCGCGCCCTGCCGCCGCGTCTACCTGCGCGCCTTCGACACCACGGAGCGCACGGCGCGCCACGCGCACGGCACGCGCCGTCTGTGCCACGCGTGCGGCGCCGAGCTGCGCGACTCCATCGTGCACTTCGGGGAGCGCGGCCGCGCCGCCTGGCCGCTCAACTGGGCCGGCGCACTGCGCCACGCCGCGCGCGCCGACGTAGTCCTGTGTCTGGGCTCCAGCCTCAAGGTGCTGCGCCGCTACCCGCGTCTGTGGCGCATGCAGAGCGCGCCGCGCGCGCGGCCCGCGCTCTACATCGTCAACCTGCAGTGGACGCCCAAGGACTCGGTGGCGGCGCTGAAGATCAACGCGCGCTGCGACGCGGTGATGCAGCAGGTGGCGCGGCGGCTGCGGCTGCGCGTGCCCCGCTACCGCGCCGCGCTGGACCCCGTGCTGGCGCACGCCGAGCCGCTGGACGAGGCCGAGGCGCACACCACGCGCCGCGTGCCGCTGCAGGTGCCGCGCGACCTCGAGCCGCGCGCCGACCACTGGGAGCCGTCCTCGCCCTCGGCCTCCGACTCGGACGAGGAGCTGCCGCTGCGCCACTTGGCGGCGCGGCTGCGGGCGGAGGCGGCCGAGGCCGAGTCCGCACCCACCTCGGCCAAAGGCCCGCCCCCGCCCCGGCCTCGACACTCGCGGCTGCCCCTCCGCCCCCGTCCGCCACTCCGCCCCCGTCCGCACTCGTCTCTGCCCCTGCCCCGACAGACTGCTTGCACTCCTTTCAGGTGAGTGCTTCCGGCCTTCTGTACTTTAAATCAGTGCTTACAACCACAACACAGTTCAATATTGTTGATGTTGCTTGCACCCAATATTTATAGATATATCTCAATCTACTAGTGCGAGGTATTACAAAATTATTATTAGTGTCATTTTTGTTAACAATAACAGTTTTGTTTCAGGTGAGCATGCACTCCGGCGAGGCTACGATATTACTACGCGCCGAGCACGCCGCGCCCGACCTGGAGCTACTGCGCCTGCGCCGCTTCCGCATGCCTCGCGTCGCGCCTGCGCACTCCCGTCTGCGCCGTCTGCTCGAGTACGAGCCGCGCATACAGCGCGACGCCGACGACGACAAGCCCGCCGAGTCAGAACTCCGGCCGAAGCTGGAGGGGGACGAGGCGCGCGTCAAGGACGAGGCGCGCGTCAAGGACGAGCCCAAGGAGGAGGCGAGCACGTCGGAGTCGGCGGGCTCGCTGGCGGCCGCCATCATCCGGCGCGCCGTGCTGCTGTGTCGCGCCTCGCTGTACCCGGGGCTGCACACCATCATCGCGCCGCCCGCCGCGCCGCCGCCCGAGTGCGCGTGGTGCGCGCGGCACTACGCGGCGCGGCGCTGCCTGTGGTACGGGCCGCCGCGCGAGCCGGCGGCGGCGGCGCGCGTGTGGCGGCGCGCGCGCGGCCGGCGCTACCTGTGCGCGTGCTGCGGCGGCCCGGACGCGCCGCGCGCCGACGCGGACGACGGCGGCTGGTACGGCAAGGGCTACCGCAAGGGCCGGCGCCGCCGCAGGTAGCCCGAGCCCGACGCCCGGCCACCGTCGCCGCGCGCGTCGGGCGTCGCAGACCACGACCTGAGCGCTTCTGACGGTCTCCGAGACGCAGAGTGTTATGACGGATCTATGGACGGACGTTGATGACGTGGAACATTGTAGCATTATTATCGCGCGGCTCCGCGAGCCGGGTGCGGTGCGCAGGTTTTGTCGAACAAAGTCCCGGCTCGGTGTCGGGCCGTGTATTGTGGGCGTAGGTACTCGCCACGCCGACCGCCTCAGTCTAGCGTTTTGTATGATTTTATAAATGAACTAATAATTATTAATTTAATAGTGAAATGAATATTATTTGTATTATGAATATGATAGATGCTGAAGCTGTGTGAATGTCGATTGAAATGTGAAATTAATAATTAGTAAGCAAATAAATTTGAACAATTTGAACTGAATTTATTTTCATTTCCTCCCTACAAGCAGGCAATGTGTACATGAACGAGACAAACGGTACCTCGCTGTGCTAGCACTTCTAGATAAAACACAATTTCAACAATAAATTATCACATAATCAGTGTGTTAATTATGATGACGATTTGAATACGTGATGTCGTTTTAGCTCGGAGTTTTAAGATCGCGAAGCTCGTGTATTTTATTACTCGTCGGCGATACTAGCGCCACCCTGTCTTCCAGCACAGCACAGTTCCACGTTCCAGGACGTCGCTGTGCCCCACTTATCTCCGCGTACAGAGAGAGACAGAGCTCTAACGTGTATGGCGGCGTTGTCAGTGCAGCTAAATATGGCGCCTCTGTTATCTGGAGTTTCCGGCCGCCTGCCGCCGCCATGTTGTTCCTGTGCCGCAGTACGCGCCGCGGCCCTGGCCGGACCGGACGAGTGACTACTTACTTACTAGTCGTGCGCGCCTGCGTCACCTGCTTGCAAGCCCAACGGCTTCTTTTGAAGTAAAGCTCATTTAATTGTAAGCATAATATTATAGTTCTCAATCTTAGGTTTAGGTTTTATTTTTATCACATTGTCTTCGGGATATGATTTTATATGTAGGTACTTATTATTATAAATTTATTCATTACACAATAAACCTAGAATGAAAATTCCGTAGGTGCATCAAAAATAATAAAATTTATCGAAGGGTGTTACTACATCCATGTACAATCCAAGAATGTGGTCTTTTTTCTGTCTATGTTTGTATTTAATTTTTGATTTTGATTTTTGATATGTTTGTATACAAATCACATAAAATACTTATCCGATTCGAATGCGGTATATAACCGATTTCAAAAAGACAAAAAGGCGGTTCTCAGTTTGACCTGCATATACATATATGTGTTTGTGCACGATTATCTCGAGATTCGAACAGATTTTAATACGGTTTTGAGAAAAGTGTTACACATAGGAGAAGATTCTCACCCCACCCGTAACGAGACAAAACCAACTTTTATCCAGAGGCGTATTGAATAGTACGAATGGCGGCGCGGCAGTGGTGGCGGGCGGGCTGGCGGCGCGGGCTGGCGGCGCGGGCGCTGGCGCTGGCGGCGGCGGCGCTGGGCGCGCTGTGCGTGCGCGTGCCGGCCGAGCGCGCCGCCGACCTGCGCCTGCCCGGCCCCGAGCCCGCCCAGCTCGCGCACTCGCTCGCCGACTTCTCCAACCAGCCCGATATGTATGTATCCCTCTCCCTACGACGATTTACAACATAACCTGTAGGGTAGGCAGAGTTGCATATACCGATACAATATAAGCTTATCGCAAAATCGTTGTATGTGAAATATAAAATAAATAATATATACCTTTATATATTTCTTACACTGTATGTGTATATGCTGATGCTTATATACTTACTATTTATTTTTACTATTTATTTATATATACTTACTATTTTTTTATACATATATTATTTAAAGACCAACTTTAGATTCGAACGCACACCTATCCCTATTTTGTATTGGTATGTTTTTTTCTGTGCCTTTAACCAAACGCCACTTTAGCGCTTGTCTACCGAGAGAGTAGAAAACACATACATACATTTCACCGCAACAAACAGAAACTAGTTTACACGGAACTCAGTACAGAAAACACAGAACACAGAACTTAGGTTACTTTAAACTTAGGTTACGTGTAACTGAGTTTTTACAGAGCTTGGTGAAAAGGGACCTAAATGTATGGGGATGACACTGACAAGTGTCAAAATTTACGTCAAACCCATATATTTTGGTTTTCTATTCTACAAGTAGACACGCGCTAAATGGCATTTGGCTACAGCTACTGTTTTCTGTAAAATAAAACAATAAAATACTTCTATTAATGGTAAAAAGCGAATTGCAACATCATTATTTAGATATTACAAAACTTTTTGTTCACATTGATTAACAAATATAAAAGTTATCACTGTATAAATAAGGTTGACAATATGTAGCGGATAATATTAATAGATACTCGTAGAATGACAACTAAGAACACAATCTTTTTATAATGTGGGTTGTTTGAAAAATTATTTTATATTGTCGGTAGTTACTTCATAAACGGATCAAATAAAATAACCTGAGAGTTCCGTGGTTACCTCGAACATTGAAAACTTGATACCTACTTAGGTATTGAACAATTAGAAATTTTGCATGTTTAAAAATATTTAATAAACACAAAAGGAAGATTGCTGAGATCAAACCTGCGACCCGTCGTCGTATATCACATATGAAAACCATTACGCCAAGCTTGCAACTGCAAGGGATCGTGAAATATTTGATGTCATTCAAAACTATATTGTATTTATTGGTATGAAAATACATAGTAAGCTCGATGGTTCATTATTTGATATATTCAATGTTTGTTACATATTGTTTAGATCTTTACCCTCATTTTTATTTACATTTATATAATGAATTACTTACGCACAGCCGTGTGAACATCACTCACGCGGATAAATATACGTGTGCATGTGTGTATAAGTGCTGCAGCGCAAACGATAGTAGTCATTACGGTGGCAGTCGACTTGGAGTTTGACCGCACCTCACGAGGCCGAGGTGTGTTATGAGATCTCGTTAAGATATCACAATATGTCATTGCTAGTCCCCCCCACTATTAGAAAGAATATATGTCAGAGCACCCCACCATGGTTCCCGCTTGCCAACATTATTTTCAGTACCTTCTGATACAACAATATACACAAGTGACAACATTTTCCTTAAGAACCTCTTAAAACAGTACCTTTTTGTTTTATGATCACACTGTATTGATCATGATCAAATCATTTATTTATTTCATACTGGTCTGTTTCCTGAATGAAGTAAAATAAAATGAAAATCCTTGCCTCGACAGACAAAACTGAAATACCCACTGTAGGTTTACTACTCATAATCGTAAGAGCAGGAACTGTTGCTCTTAAGCGCAGGAACAAATGGAAGGAGAAATTCTTCACTAATAACTAAAATATTTGAAATCTCCTATATAAAAAAAAAAACTAATTAGACAGGGCTGAGTACTGACATAAGTCCTTGAAAATCAACAGAAGGTATTTAATTTTTTTATGGGATAAATGAGCAGACGTACCACATGAAACGATCGGCGTCGCCCATGGACATTTGAAACACAAGAGGCGCTACAAGTGTGATACCGGCCTTTTCAGGATTACGAATTTAAGGATTGGGGAAGGAGAAGGTAATTAGGCCTCCGGTAACCTCACACGATGAAATACGGCGCAGGCGCTGCTTCACGTCGGTTTTCTGCTCGGTCGTGGTATCACACCGGTCTAGCCGGCCCATTCGTGCCGAAACATGGCCCTCCCTCATATACATTTTTGTCTGTAGAGGCCAGGATTTGCCGATCTCCATGTGATTCGGATTGCGGCTGATTGCGAGGATTACCCTTATGCAACGATACTGGCGTTTTATTATTGTCTGTTCAAACACAGCTCTTCTTGGCGGGTGGAAGAAGACCACAGCAATTATACGACGTGGCGCTACTCAGTGTCGTTCTGGTGCGGGACATGGTGCCGGGGCCGCGGGGCGGTGCTGGCGGCGGACGAGCCAGTCGGCGCCGCGCCGCAGCACGGCCGCGCCGCGCGCGCTCACCACGTGTCGGTCGTGCGCCGCGACTGCTCTGCGCTGCCGCTGCTGCCCTGGCCGCAGCTTTGTGGTACGCATTTTACTTAACTATTGTAAAAGTAGCCGACTACCACGAAGTAGTGGTTCGATATGTACCAGCCACCGACACGTCTGTGCAGATGAGACAGAGCTGCGAGCCGTGGTGTCGGGCGCTGGCGGCGGCTCGCGGCTGCAGTGGGCGGCGCGCGCGAGCTGCGGCGCGCTGGGCTGGGCGAGCGGGGCGTGCGCGCGGCGCCTGCAGCGCCACCTCCAGCACGCACTGCAGCGCCTCCTGCCCGCCTCCTGAGGCACACGTTACTCATACTGTTATGATTCATAAAAAGCAACTCATAAAAATGTCGCATACGTTGTAAATAAATAAATAATAACGTACTTAACTATTTACAGGCGTATTTTTTTTTAAACCCCGGCGTACCAGGCTTGTGTTTTGGTATTTTTACTTTATATCCTCGTCTGTATTGTAGGCCAGAAGGTCCCGGACAATTACGAGTGGATTCCGCTGAGCTGAGCTCTTGCATTTCTGTAAGGATCTCTGTGCTCTGGCCGTTGCGCCCCTCGACGACAGGTGCCGTTTCCATCCTCCGCTGGTCATTTAAGGCTGCCTTTAGTTCCCCCATTTGCACAGCGGCTGCTTTAAGCAGTTCGCCGTGCTCCGCCATTTTTGTGAGGAGTTTGTCCTCTCTGTGCACCATTTTAGGGGCCTCCAGACCCGCAATCTCTCCAATCTCAGGCAGCCGCTGGTGTTCGGACTCTTTAACCAGTTGGTAGAGGCGCTCAATGGCTAGTGTCGCCTGGGTCTTGATCTCCGTTTTTAGGTTTCTTGCGAGACCCAGTTGACACTTGGCCTGTTTCAGCCAGTACCGCGCCTCCACCGTCCGGTTCTCGAATGTTCAAGTTGGCTGAGGGGAATTGGG